GGTCACAGCGCACACGCACGGCACGCCTGACGCGCACCTCCCCGCCGTCACCTCCAGTCACAGCGCCCACGCACAAAACATCCACAGCTGTTCCCAAAGCCCACGCATGGTCTACACATTGGCCCTGCCTCCCCACACCACTTCCAGTATTTCGTCAGTGATCTTTGCTAAAGAAACTGGGCATGGGTACTATAGCTGTTCATGTGTGGTTCACCAAACCCAAATCATTTCCCTCCTGAAATTTGAAAGATTTCAGAATTAATTTTTCAGTATCTTAAAAATTAAAGTTCTGCTTTAGTTTTGGAGATCGTTGTTAAAATAGCAGGAACATTTCCACTCAAACTACTCCTAATATCTAAAATCGAGCTGAATTATGGACATGGACAGATATAATAACAAAATCCAAACCAGAAAGTTAATGCCTGTTTTTCTAACCATTTTTTGTTTAGAGGCCAGGTTCTACTAAAAAGCAGAACTTCCATTATGGACCAAGTATTTCCATGATATTTATGGGCAGAAAATAATTGAGGCCATTGTTAAAACAGCCATAACATCCAGAAAAAGTCCCTCCGTGCTGTCTGGCATCCAAGGACAGCAGACCCTCCGGTCGCCGGCATCCCCACCCAACACCACCCAAAAGCCCTTATGAAGATGGCAGGACAGATAAAATGACCAACCGACACCCAGACAAGCTTCCCAGTTTCCCTTCTCGAGATGCGGGTTCCCTATGCAAACACGTGCAAATGTCTCTTAAAGTGTCCACTTCAGTAGGTTCTAGCTCCGCTCGGGAACTTAATCAGACACCAATGGTTTCACGGTGACAGGAGAAAGCCCCCAAAAGAAAACGTTTTAACCAAGTTCCTACTGAGTCTGTAAAAGTAGAAGAAGTTTTGTCTCTTACCTACTACAAACATGATCTATTAGCAGAGACACAGAATCTAGGTTATTATCGAGTTTGGTGTTGTGATATAGGCACCGATCCCTCTGTAATTCCACTGCCTGCCGCAGGAGAGTCTGTAAACGCCGTGGGGGAAGCATCACTGATGGCGGCAAATACGCTGTAAAACAAGACAGTTTTAAAGAGAGAAATAACAACAAACGTTAAAATACCAAGACAGTATAACCTTTAAGACACTTGCCCCCCTTCTGTTGCACCTGCCGCCGCCCTAGAAATCTTATGTCCCTCAGAGTAGGAGAGGTGACACAGCGGGAGCTTCAGGCGTGTTTGTCAGCAGCTACAGCTATGTTGTCACAAAATGGAACAGATAGGAGGGCTTTAATCTGTACGTGAATTTCCAAAAACACAAAGCAACCCCCCCAAACCCCACTACCAACAACCCCCCCCCCCAAAAAAAAGCCAGTGATGATGAAGAGAAAACCTGCAGAAGACTGTGTACTGGAGGGAGACTACAGATCACTGACAGTGTAAAAGGAACCTCTCCCCAACAAAGGGCCAGCCGACAGGTGGGGACAGGCACCAGGTCTCATCAGATTGCTTCTAATGCCCAGGATCCTGTGCAAACTCCGGGAATGACTGGTGTTTTGATGTGGATACCCATCTCTTCCAATCCTTCCATGTCTCACACCTCCCCAACCACATGGTTTTCTGATTCTTAGGATCTCTACTCCTCACCTCAACGTGAAACACACAGAATAACATGATTTAATCCGAGAGGGAAAAAAGATCTTCTCTATAAAAGTGTGGCAAAAATAAAACCCCGACTCTAATCTGGAAGTTATATAGAACATATCTGGGGGTGGGGGGGGCAGAGAGGAAAACAGTTTACTTAAACCTGGGCCTTCCTGTTGAAATCAACAAATATTTAAAACACTTGTAGTTTACATTTCCGGTTTATGTATTTTTTCTTCCAACCACAGCACTCCTCTCCCCCAGACAAAATCTTAACGGGAGCATTACTGCATAACACAAACGAAGGGAGAGCTGCCCTGGGACCCGTGCCCTCTCCGACTCCCGAGGAGGTGAGCTGCTTTGCAGACTCCAGGGCAGTCTGGAAACCTTTGCTTGAAAGGGCTTACTGGATTTTCCCTTCTTCCCTATGTAACTGCTCACTGAGCGTGCATCTGGACACAAGAAGTCTTCCTGATCAATTCAGAGTATTTATTTCTAATTAAGAGAAAACACAGAAACACCAAAAAGTAAGACTCTTACTCTGCAGTTTGTCCAACAGTTTGGATCGGGAAGCTGTTCCTTTGCCTTCCCATTCTGCTTTTGCACGTAGGTCTTCTGCATGGCTACACATCAGATACCTAAAAACAGGACAGAGAAAGCACCAAATATTAAACCCTTTTCTTTGGGTAAAATAATATAATTTTTCATAATTAAAAAGTATTGATCATACTTAGAAATATATATCAAATTCTTACTAAGAAATATGTATCAAGAACAAGTTTCTACCGTGGACCCAATTCATTAATACAACCTGGCACCTGCATATATTTACTAAAACGTAATACCACGGTAACAGCAAAATGTATGATGTTACTCTTATGACATATTATTATCTGTTAGTAGAACATACTCCCTCGTCTGTTATTATCATACATCATGCTGTGTATGGGGCTCTTCCTGGGTGTCAGGCTCGGTCCCAAGCTCTCCACACATACCACCTGACTGAAAGTGCGCCACAATCCTGGGTGAAGGGAGCACTGGCGTTCTAATTTCACAAATGAACCACCCAAGGCATGGAAAGCGTAAGGAACTGGCTTAGGGTTAAGAGGCAAAAAAGGGGATATGAACTCAGGCATTTTTAGTTGCAAAACTTGCTCTTAACTACTATGCTAACTGAATTGCTTCTCAGTAGTAAAACAAAACTCCCCCCAAACCCCAAATAAAATAAAAAACCCTTCAAAGATATTTATACTAAGTTAATTAAACAAAAACAACATACCTTCAAGAGTTTATCATAAACGTCACTCAAGAAATGGTATAATTGGATAATCATCCTTGGGTCATCCTGTGAAAGGTATTGAGATCCCAAAGCAGAAACTTTGGGAACTGTTTTATTACTCACTATATGTGCTGAAGGAGGCATAAAAGCTAAAGTCATGGATTCTGGAGAATACATGAGGCCCCCTGCTGGAAGAGTGACCCTGACCTTGTTCTGGCTCTTCTCAGAAGAACTGGCTTTAAAAGTAAAAGAAGTGAAGGCATTATTCAGACATTGAGATTAGACCTGGCGAGTACGTCTCCTGCTACTTTGTCTGGTACTCTGTTCTCAGATCTGTTCTCACTTGTGAAAAGGTTCTTAAACAGGGAAGTAAGGATTAACTAAGACAGAGTATATGAAGTACTTGGTCCACTACCTGGTATACAGATGGAGCTTAATATATGATAAAAGAAGTATGGAAAACCTCTCAGTTGATGTGTCACCTTCTTTTTCTCAACTGCACCAAGCAAACTGCATTCAGCATTGAGTAGTTACTCGCCTCTTACCCAGGAGCAAAGAACTACCTGCTCTCTTGCTTTTTATTTAGTCTATGGTGTCTTAGCTGATGAGAACTTACTTTGTTTTAGTAGCATGAGTAACCTGATTCAAAATACCCTATATAAGAAGCTGGGTATTGCAAAACTACTGGTTTCTAAAATAGCTTTTTTGGGGTAAAATTTATTATCAATAATTTTATGGAAAAATTGTTCACTTTTTAAATTTTGCAAAAGATACCTATGATTGTTTCTGCCCCTTCTGAAAACACACACTACACCTTAAGGGTTTCAAAAAATGTCTGTTTACGGGAAGCTGTGTGGCGTAACTGAAAAGATGCTGGACCACTGGGAAAAAACCCTGGATCCTCATGCCAGCTCCGCATCTGGCCATCTTTGGGCCATTTCCTTATGGGAAACAGTCAAGGGACACACCGAGTGAAGTTCATTTTGGAATCAAAACTATGTGATTAAGTTACATGTTCTGTTACCAAAACAGGTGACACAGAAATCAGACTCCTTATCAAAGAGATAAACAGAACCAGGGAATCTGTCAACTACAGTAGTAAAACACCCAGCCTGCTGCTCGAGGATGCAGCGGGTGAGGACCGATGACTCTGCCATCAGTCAAACCAGGCTTGGAATCCTGGCTCTCTGCTTTACCAGGCGGGCCGGTTACTTCACTTCTCCAAGGTTTAGTTTCCCTTTCCTCAAAAACCCTAAAATGAACCCTATATCTCTTTGGGTCCATCGTTTTGGCCATCATTTTGTATTTGAAAACTCATTGTGCGTCAATGATGTTCTAGAGGCTGGGGCCGTATCATATAATAAAAAATGCTATAAAAAAAAATTAAAAACAGTGATGTGACAAGACAATGCCTGTTAGGTGGTTTTAGGAGAGGACTTCTGGGCTGGGACCTGAGCACCTAGTAGCCAGCTATGGAAAGATTCGGGGAAGAGCATTTAAGATAAAGGGAAGTGGGAGCGGCTTGGCCAGTTAAGGAACAGAAAAATCATTAATATCACTGGAGAGTAAATGAAGGAAGGAAAAGATGGCGAGAAAAGGTCAAAGACTCCAAAGGCTTGAGCAGAGATTCTGGATTTTAAGGGTGATAGAAAGCCAGTGCGAAGTTTTAAGAAAGGGAGATAAATGGCTTAATGTACGGTTTTACTTACATATTTATGTATTTATCTGGCTGCTGTGTGAAATGTGCATCATTAAGGGAGTGAGACTGAAAGCAATGGGACTCATGAGGAGTTCACTCGAATATTCTAGGAAACACATTTATGGATTCACTAGGATAGAATCTGTGGAGATGGAGAGAAATGGACAAACCCGGGATGTTTTAGAGTTTGGCCAACACATGTCAGAGTTAAAGGATTTAGGAAATGCAAGGATGAGGTTTGTTTTTTGTTTGGACAAAGGTCTTACCATTTACTGAGATGGGAAAACTAGGGGAGGAGCAGGTGGCGGGGGGGGGGGGGACGACAAGTGGATTCAAGAAGCTCACTGTGGACATACACCTCTGCGACACCCCAAATGGAGACCATCAAGGAGGCAGTCAGATATATATACTGGGACCTGAGATGAGAGAGCCTCCGGCAGAGAGACGGTATGTGAGGGCACGGCACAGAACGAGGGGACCTGGTGGGGTGTGTGGACAGAGAACAGAAGAGGGGCCCGGATCTGAGGCCTCGGCCCCCTGACATGGAAAGAGCAGACGTGACGATCAAGTGAGACTGTGTACAGGAAATGCTCAGCAAGGACCCGGGGCGGGACAAGCACACGTTAGGAAGAGCGTCCGATGCGGCGCCGTGGAAGGTTCACTGCTCATTGTCTGCACAGAAGGTTACGCCACAGGGTTTTGATATAAGACTATGAAATGGCGATACGTATTTCTTCTTTCTTTCACCCACTGAAGTATCTATTCTAATATGCAATGCTTCCTAGGAGGACAAAAGTAGCCTGAACGCATTTGAATGAGTGTATCCAGAGCAATATTGTGCAGGGATGTAGCCCGACTCCGATCTTGGAAGAGTGGCACCCGTGCTGGCCCTGCCGGCCCCTCCGTCACCCCGGCATCAGGAGCCCGCGACCTTACCCGCTAAGGACGTGAATGCGCTCCGTGTTGTATTTCAGGGGCGTCAACTCGCAGCGCAGAACTTGAAGCGCCTCCAGGACCTTGCCGTCCTCCAGGTACTCTAGGTACTTCTGCTGCAGCAGCAAAAACTTCATCCTCTGACAGGACAGAAAGCAGCAGTGAGGGGAAAAGTTGATGGGAGGGTCAGAAAATGTTTGTGCCTAAACAGAACAGTAGAAACCATTCTACTACGCCCTCTGAAAATCACTTCTTACAACGCTTTAAGATGACTCAAACTATTTTGGTTTAATAGTCACAGTAGATTAAATGATCACCTTGCTCAATTCCACATCTTCATAAAACTGCTTTGAACCAATAATCCCAAATTAGGTAAGACCATTAGCGACCAAGGCATCGACAGAGGAAAAAATGAACTCTGCCCTTAAAAACATTCACCTAGAAATTTTATTCTTGCGTGAAAATTCAGAACTATTCCAGGTATTCTAAATTGGTTTTAAAAGACTGACTCTTACAACAGGGCATCAGGGGGTTTGATGCCACAAGTTTTAAAAAAGATGGCAGAAAAACCAGTTAATGGAGGAATTACTTAAAACCTACAACGTGTCGGAAGGACTAAGCAGACTGCCAAGCAGAACCAGAGCCTTGGGGCAGAGGTCACAAAGCATCAGGCGAGGCTCATGGAAGTAAGGAGAGGTGTCCAGCAAAAGGCCTAGGGGTCCATGTGCGGAGTGGGCAAGCGTGAGCCTGATGGCCTTGCTCTTGCTAGGAGGTCTACGACAGAAGGCTGAACTCCAAAGTTTGCAAAAGGAGTCAGTATTTGTCTGTGTGTACTGCTAACAGTCTGATCGCTGATGCATTTAACTATGGGGCACAGACAATTATGATCAGCTCGTTTCCCCCAAAAGGACAAACCGTTTCCTGCTCATGGTGAAGCACTTTCGCTCGGAGTTATTTCGCTGAAATGGGTTTGGCTCTGATACTTTTTAATGTCCCTTCACTCTACTATGGTACTTTTAACTGGAAAGTGATCATCATGGTCCTAGCAGCCTTTTTTTTTTGGCTAAAGAGAGATACTTATGAGTATCAAGTCGAGCATTTTTTACAGTAGAAGACCACTGCCTGGAGGGACTCTTTCATCCTATCTGCTACCCATGGGTCTGGAGCGAGCCGACGGAGGCAGGTACGGAGGTCAGGGGACAGAAAACGTCAGCCATATTTAGAGACCCCAAGAAATACAGTGGTCAAGATTTTAAACCCACTTAAAAGAAAAAAACAAACGATAGCTTTTTCTTCCTCAGTAAAATGTTAAGTATATATATACTGCTGTCCCAAAATGGTGTGGAGAAAAGATCATTTCTTCAGAGAATTAAGAGTACCATGAACTTCTCTGCACGATTTTCTAGTATGGAGTATTTAGAAGAAAGGCCTACCTACAAGCCTCTAAAAATGGTTTCTAGGGAAAGTAAGCAAAACAAACCCTGTCAGGTAAGTTAGGCCTACATTTAAACACCTCTTTTGTAAGATGCATTGCATATGTTTGGTGATAATCTAAACTTAAATCTGTAACTAAAGAACAGAAAAAATTTCCAACTATCAGATGAGCTCCTGTAACTCTAGAGAAACGACACCTCCCAGATTCTACACATCATGCTGGACTAACGAATGCCTCAGAAACAGATCGCTTACCAAGATGCCCTGAAAAGTGTGCTGCGTGGAGCCCAAAGTTACCCTTTATTACGTCAAAGAACAAAATACTCTGGTGTCCGTCAGATGACAAAAACCAAAGACTTAATAAAACAATTTAAAAATCAAAGTATTTTATATTTGAAGTTATTCTGGATATTCTCACCATTTTATCTCCTGAAAACAACTTCCATTCTTTACGAAATGTAGATTTTATACATTTCCGTTTACCGACACTGTCAGTTATATTTCACATAGTGTTTCTGATTCAAACCTGAGAATCATGTTTAGTTGCACTATTTTTTCATTTAAGTGCCACATGGAACTGGCCAGTATGTGTACTTGATTTCTCCACTCAATTTTTTTAGCGATTGGAAATTTGGAGAAAATTACTTTTTCATGATTTATTTTTGGGGTGCCAACTATGAGGTCCTAGGCACAGCCCCCATTCCAATGTGTGTAGGGACAGTGCCCCAAGTGCTGTTTGCTCCTTATTTTCCCACCAAGATCCTGCTGGAACATGCTTCTGTCTTTCTAAGGGGAAGGGGCAGGGCGGGAGAGGAGGGAGGCAGGACATGTGAGGGAAGCTCATTCAAATACGTATTTCTGGATATACAGGGCATGCTACGAAGGCAGCGCAGACAATTTTCTAGGAGCCATTTTATCCAGATGAAGACTAAGAATCTCCTCAAACAGGGTATCAAATCCTGGTAGTGCACATGGCAATGGACAGGCTGCTGGCCAAGCATAGCTAGAGATTCGGTTGAAAGACAGTATGTTTATTCTCCTAAAAATCAGTTCCATTCGTATTTGACACGTAAGGATGGAGAGTAAAACTGCATTTCACTTCCCAAAGTTTAAAGCACAAAAATGTAAACACAATTTCAAGAAAATAAACACCTTTCACAAATGATGTTAACTATTTAAAATTTTAAAAAATCAGCAAAACTAAAGTTTGCTGAGGTGGGGACAGAGCCTTATGAACTTTTTTTTTTTTTAAAGATCACAAGCTTCTTTTAAATGAAGAAAAAAAGAAAGAGGCTGAGAAAACAAACTGCCCTTTATAGCTCTTCCCAGCTCCTAATGAGACCTCTGCGAGAGTACTTCTGTTCTCTGATAATTTCCCAGCATCTTTCGGCCCAGGGTGTCTGTCTCTTACTACCCAGTAGGACCGTGAAAGACAGCTCCATATAGTAGGTCTTGCTGTTGCCTCCCATCCTACCCAATACTGGGACTGCTGTACCCTCTCCTCCCACCTAACTGTCCTGACTTCCACTGAAGGAAAAGTCCGAGGCTACACAGACTATCCAGGGCAGGCTCCCTGCTAACTCAGGAGTGGTTCTGACTAATTCTGCAATAAGGTTATAACCAAGTTGTATCAATTAAACCATGACTCAGAGGAAAGGGGAAATGAATTATATTTAAACCATGGCTTTCAAAGCCCTATTTAACTTTAAAAAACAGTAGTTAATTTTTGTCCATGAAATTAGCATTTGAGCGCTTTTCTTAAGCACATTTCTATTATACTAAAAAATAAACACAAATTTTGGAGGAGTTTCCCATGTTACTGGCCTCTCTACCCATCCAAACTCCCCTGACGTGGTGAAGCACATTTGAACCCAAACTGAAAAATGTTGATTCAGGAGCTCACTTTCCAGAAAATCCAGAGCAAATTCTGCTATCCATGGTATCATTTGACTGGAAACCATTAAGAAATATGGGGGGTAGGTGGGGAGAGCAGAGAGTGGATTGGGTCAATAAAAATGTTTGGGCTTAAAAAGTAAAATATAATTTTAGTTTTGATTAAGTCATCAAATGTGTCTGGGTGTACAATTAAAATAATTATGTTAAAAAAAAAGAAGTCCCAAATAGTTGTCTTCTATGGTATTATTACAGCTACCCTGGGATTGGGTTCTCTTCTGGAGATGGAGTAGGGGAGAGGAGTAAATCTGAACACAAACTAGAAGGGGGAAAAAGTGCTGAACTGAATCTTAAACCTGGAGCCCCTTTCTTTGGACAAATACCTAAACAGTTTGATGGTGCGAGGCTCAGCCAGAGATTTAACCTTCATCTTTTATTAGATGCTGCAATGTTCTATAGATTGAACAGGCTGTAAAAAGAAAGGACTCTTCCTCGTTATCTACAACTACCTTTTTTGAGTTTACACGTTGCTTCTAATGAAGGTTTCAGGTAGTCATAATCTAAATAAAACACAGAAGCCCCACATTTCTGTGAACAAGTAAGAAAAAATAGGAAGTGACCCTATTTAAATTTTTACTACCTAATTACAAAGAGAATTTGAAGTGAGGATTTAAAAAAAAGGCAAACAATCCTCCCAAAACTCACACACTTATTTTTTGTCTATATTTTAGGGTCACTTTCCATTCTGTTGGAGCTAATTATTTATGAGAAACTGCCCAATGAAAATATACTTAGGTTCTTTTTTTTTTAAACCCCAAACACACTGACTGGGAAAAATTTAGTTGCTGCGAAATGTATAACCCTTTTAAATGTAGGTGTTTATTTTAACTTCCGTGTTTTCATTTTTTAATATTTAGCATGGAATTGATCATTCCATGAGTTAATTTATTATCAATCATCTGATTCCACAGTAAGTAAAAATTTGCTTTAAAATATTTACTGAAAGCAAAAAATATACGTATTAAGTCATCAATTTACATTAATCCGTATTTATTCATACTTGTTTGTACCTTCAATTCGCCTGAAGTCCATTCTCTAGGATTATATATTATCAATTTGAAAACTTTTTAATTAAGACTCCCCCCCGCCAAAAAAACCCCAAAAACAAGAACAAGAGGCTCTATTAGGTTTACAGACAAAGGCGGCACGATTAATGTTTGACCCAATTAAAAAAAAAAAACCAAAAGGTAACAGTAGTCATTTACTAATATTTAACAAACAGCTGGTTTCCCTACTTGACTTCCTACTGGCCTTCTTTCCCTCCCCCACCAGACAGGAAACTGCTTTTGACAACAAATGAATCAGCTCGAAGTTAAAAGGCCAGCAGCCAGCAGCTGATTCTTCATGGTTTCCAATCGCAGGCACTTAGAAAAACTTATCCCCCCCTCCTCTCCCTCACCGACATCTACAGAAGAATTAAAGCCTACCAGCAGAAAATATTCATCAAGATTTATGAAAGAAGCTAATAGGTTAGACTACTGAACTGATCTTGTCGGGGAAATAAGGCCTGTAAGCAGAGCCCAGTGGTCAAATCTGCACACAAACCCTCCACCAGAGTGATCCACATTATATACACTTTGACACTGTCAGTGCACACAACTGGAATGCAAGAGTGGAAAATGGTGAGCACACCAAAGGAGTTGCTTTGAATTAACTGTAATTCCCAAAGATTAAAAAAAAAAAAAAACCAAAACCAGGACAATTCATGTATCAGCTACTTAAGGCTATAGGATGCACACACCCAAATACATTTCCTCTGCCAGCACGATCAGTATAAATAACGTGAAAGCATAATTTATCTTTGATTCCACAAATATAAAACTGCTATTAACAGCACTGAAAGCATGAAGATCTTTCAATTAATTTCTAGAAGCTTAACTTATAAAGTAGGTTAAAACGACACATTTACTAAACATGATTTTAAAAAGGTAAAACTTTAAAGCATCATCAACACTCATCCTAGTTTACAAACTTAATTATATGAAATTTAACTATTTTTAGGCCTTATCTTTTGTAAGAGACAGAAGCCTAGAATTATCAATAACCTACTAAAATAAGCATGAATGTGAAACTAAGAACAAAAGTGTATTTACCACAATTATTCCCAACAACGTTTGAGAGATTTCAAGTGCGCCTCTTACCACAATAGCATGAGGAGAATGCACTAAAGGCTTTAGTTCATTCAGGTCATTTTCTGCCTGCAAAAATTGGCATAAAAGAAAAACAAAAATGTCACAGAATGCACATTCCAATATATAATTTTAGCAGCAGTCACACAGCTCTATATGCCCTACTTTACCTTCTCCCAGTCTCCTTCCATGACATGATTTCGGAATTTGGTGGCAGAAGGATGTTCTAAACGACATCCTGACTCTTGCATGAGGAGATCAACAGTCTGGCTGCAGGAGAGATACAGTGTAAAAAAGACCTGGCCAACTTGTAGGATTCACTCTTCTAAATCAACTCATGTCCATAAAAACAGTTGCAAAAGTTTTCAAGCTAACCTCATGATGGAGAAAAAAGAAATCAATAGTTGTTTTCTTTTTTTTTAAATTGTGTTTGGCTCAACAAACTTGCATTTTTAAACGGCCACCGTGATGTTGTTTTATCTAGTCAGGTTAAAAGCCTTCTTGAAACCAGAATCAAAAGAAATTCTTCCAATTTTTACCATTTAATGCCTCAGAAATTTAGTGAAGTATAAAATCTCCAAGAACATGTTGTAACCAAGTGGTTAAATAAATAAAAACCAGGGTACTAACCACGTTACAACGTCTCAAAAGATAGAAATTGTTAGTTCCAGACAAGGGAAGAGAGATGACCTGGGTCAGGGAAGGGCCTTACATCCAGACGCGATGTTTGCACAGAAATTCTACTAGGTCAATCTTTAAAATTAAAATAAATCCAGCACCAAAAATCACTCTTTCTCTCTATACTAAAAATAGCAAATTTACTATGGTGTAGGTTCCAAACAGTCACGAGTTATTTCCTCCTGCTGCTGTCAGCTTGCTTCTTGTCTCAGTAACATGTTCTGTTAGCATTTACAAAATCTGTTTTCATACTAATCCTTCTCCTTAGGGAACAAAGTGAAATCTTTCGAAGATCTATTTCTCTTTGAGAGCTGAAAAGATCTACCAAATGCAGTTTGTCTCATCAGATATTCTGATACCTACGAATCTTTATCAGTTTTCCCTATTTGTGTTTATGTTTCGATGCTTTCTCATTCAGCTCTGTTTATTTTTCAGCTAACCAGTGCCACGATCTGCCAGAGAATCAAAATACTTAGGTCACTTTTACAAAGTGCTCCCCTCACTCCCCCCTCCCGCGAGAACAAATCTGTAAATCCCAAACTACACCTGGGCTGGCCCTAAGAGCTGCTTTTGGCCTAGGCTCTGAAGCCAGGAGGCGGACTGCTGCATGTCCCCCCCCTTGGTCTTATTCTGGCTTTGCTTCACCCACTATCAGGCCTGCAGGGCACTCCCCCCCCTCCCCACCTTCCACCCCCTCGCTTTTCCTTTGTGTCTACGGATCGGTGGGTTCACCCTATTTTAGGTGCACAAGGCTACCGACGTTGTATTTGAAAATAAACGGTTGCCCAGATCAGAGGTCCCCTTTTCACAGGCCTTTTCTTGTAATTCAAGTGGGATCTCGGCCGGGTTAGTGGCAGGCCTCTCGCACATACACAAGGGCCTTTAGATGACACCAACAGGGTATTTCACTCGGTGGCTCCCAAATTCTGCCAGCCCCTCAGTTCCCATGAACACTTGTAGGCGATTGTCTTTCCTGATTGGTGGCTGGCCTGGGCTGTCTGTCATAGTTGGGGGTGGGGAGGTGTCCCACAAAGATGCCTCTGAGATATACTTGAAAACCAAATCCTCCGAGGTCCATTATTTCCAGCAGCTCGAACGCACCCCTCCCCCACCACGCAGACACACACTCCCGCATCTGTCTTTATTGACAGACAATTCAGCTCCGAAGGTGTGCGGGCAGGGGGCAAGGTCCCGGCTTCCTGCCCCCCTCCCGAGCCCGCCACCGCCTGTCTCCGTCTCACGCCCCGCCGGGCCCATCCGTCTCCCCCTTCCCGGCAGGTCAGCTGCTCCTCCCCGTCCTCCCGGGGCCCGGGCCCCGCGGGCCGCGCACGATCCCTCGCCCGGCCGAGCTCCGTCCGGCCCCCTCCCCCACGCGGCCTCCGGGCCTCGGTCCGTCCACACCGGCGGCCTGGCAAGGGCACTTACTTGAGCCCTAAGCCATTCAAGTGCTGTCCTATGAGCCGAATGACATCCTCGTCGGACTGGGAGAGCCGCTTCTTCTTCTTGAGGCTGCTGCCCAGCTCCGGGGTGGCCGAGGCGGCGGCGGCGGCGGCGGCCGAGGCTGCGGCGGCGGCGGCGGCTGCGGCGGCCCCGCCGGGGACCCCG